ACCAAGAAGGATGTGCCAGTGGTGCATCGCCTCCTCCGAGAGTACCTTAGCCAGTTCAGCCTGGTTCCTGCCATGAACGAAGAGGAGGTGGAACACTGGTTGCTCCCACAGGAGAACATTATTGACACATATGTGGTAGAGGTAATGAATATTTCAAGTTGGCTGTGTTTGCATTAATAATTTGCATCGCATTTTCCTGATGATGTTATCGTCCAATAGAACAATGGCAAAGTGACAGATTTCCTGAGTTTCTACACACTGCCTTCCACCATAATGAATCACCCAGTACATCGCAGTCTTAAAGCAGCGTACTCCTTCTACAATGTCCACACCACCACACCACTGCTGGACCTGATGTCTGACGCCCTCATTCTGGCCAAATCGGTTTGTTTACTTAATTTAAAAGAAAAGGAAAAAACAAAAACAAACATGAGCTGCTTGTGATACATGTCTTTCTGCTTTGTGCCGTTACAGAAAGGCTTCGATGTCTTTAATGCACTGGATCTAATGGAAAACAAGACTTTTTTAGAGAAGCTGAAGTTCGGCATTGGAGATGGGAATCTACAGTATTATCTGTACAATTGGAAGTGTCCCAGCATGGGGGCAGAAAAGGTACATTTCATAAAATAATTGTGTTAAAGTTTCCTGAAAGATTTTTAAAAATGTTTGTTCTTTTAAGAAGAGGCTTAGGCTACGATCACATAGCAGCCTGAAGTGACCCAAATCCGATTTTTTTTTTTTTTTTTTTTGCCCATATCCGACCTATATCTAAACTTTTCATGACAGTCTGAACAACACAGATCCATATTTTCCAAATTGATTCAGGCCACTTGGCTACGTGGTCCTGAATCCGTAATGAAAGTGATGTTTTCAAATGCGAACTGTGTGTGAACGGTCACGTCGCCTTCATCTGAACTGAACATTTTTGATACCCAACAGAGGTCACTATTCTGCATCTTGCTATGCAGAAATAGGAAGAAAAACAACTATGGTGGACGATAATGCAGAGGGCATTCTTTATTTGAGTTGAGTTTTTAAGGTTGAAAAAGATCTCTAGATGCACTCAAGTACTACCATCCACGTTTACTTCTGTAAACAGAGAGCACACTTGCTTGTGATGTCATTGCGTCCTCTACTGTGCACGCAGGACACTTGCGTTATATGAATGCAGTTCACACAGGAGATCACATACAAGTCATATAAATAAGGAAATGTGAACTGCAACGCAAGAAATCGGATTTCCCAAAATAAATTGGAGTTTAACATTAAGGCCTGCGTTTTGAATGTAGCCTTAGTGTCTTTTTTTGTGATTAGGTCTAGATAGCATATGACGGCCAACCAGCACCACCAAACAGCAACCTGAGTCCACTTTGACATCTTGCCCTATTTGATGCTGGTGTGTAAAAGATTTCCTTATTTGTCAAACACGGGCCAAAGTATGACTACACATGATGCTCAACATTCCTCATTTTAGGTTCTGCTTGTAAGAGTTGTCATAAAATACAACTTGTTTCTCGTAATTTTAGGACTTTATTCTCGTAATATTACGACATTATTCTCGTAATTTTATGATTATTCTCGTTGTGACTTTTTTTCTGGTAATATTACAAATTTCTTCTCATAATTTTATGACTTTCTTCTCACAATAATATTAGTTAATTCTCATAATGTTACATCTTTATTCTCGAAATCTTATGACTGTTCTCTGAATTTTACGTCTTTATTATCGTAATTTTATGACTTTATTCTCGAAATGGAAGAAAAAAAAAAATCTCTAGCCTGGGCCTAATACTATAATAGTGTCCTCAGGTCAGTTTTGTTCTTCTTTGGTGGTAAAAAAAAATACAACTGCTTAATATGGCAAGTTTTTCATTTTTCTTTTTCATAATGAAGCACATTTTACCATCTCAGAATTTCTTGAAGGCTTAATTCATTACATCATATGCTTAATTATAGGCTTAATTATAAGGTAAAAATTGTTACTCCACTGAACTTGGAAAAGGAAGCTACGCTTAGTTATTTCTGTCCCTAAATAAGCTTGAATTGTTCTAAATTAGGTACATTTAGAGAAGCAGTTCACTTGGGTGGTTCGTGTACCGAGACACTGCTACCAAACTCGGTTACATGTCCAGTTTACCCGATAACTACCTATTCTCCACACATAACTGAACCAGTACAGACTCTTTGACTCTTCAAAGCATCATAAAATAAATAATAGGACTTGTTAAAAATAAATAAACGAAACAGTTTTTAAAGAGACTGCTAAGAAATGTCACCTCTTTTGGTATATGTACTTCGCTATGGTGGCTTTTAGCCATTTATTTTTTTTCCTCAATTTCTCCTGGAGGTTTCCCACTTTTCTCTTTAATCTTAAAACTGGTTCAGCTAACAGCTCCATTGCTTCTTTCCTAGGTTGGTTTGGTTCTGCAGTGACATCCATTTGCACCACAAGAGCGTGTCAACAACGGGCCTGAAGACCGCACCATGGACTGATGACATCTTGCTTTCGGGAAAAAATGAAATCCACCACCCATTTTTAGTTTCTGACCTTTTGAACTTTGACCTGCACAACTGCTGCCAGGTGTACAGGGGCTGGGAGAGCCTTCAGGTCCCCCCCACCCCTCGCTCGACCATATGGACAATAAGCCATTGTAGTTTTCATTGCAAACAACTATATTTCCTCTGAAAGCTGTCTGAAATAGCACCACAGCACACACCCACACAACTGAATTCACTCACTCCTGGCCATCTGTTTTCAAAGCTTCAACATGTATATAATAAGACTGACATGACTGCGGTTAATACCCTATTACACATGCAGAGTAGAATCTTTTTGATTTTATCCTTAAATATTGGAAGTGCTAAAATAAAATGCAAATCTAAGTTTTAAAATAGAAAAAAAAATCAAAATGGGTGAAGGGTTTTAAAGAGGAAGCTGAAAAAGATTATATGAAAACCAAAAACAGACTTAAGATAAGGGCTTCTAGCTAGTTTTTTTTTTTTCTTTTCATGCTTGACCCTTTCTTTTTAGCTCTGTTCCATTAAGGTTGCTCTACAAATTAAACAGAGTTGGTGTTCATCTTTTTTCAAGCTCCCCTCATTTGTCAGATTTTTTTGTGACCATCCTTTTGGGATTATTTAACCAAGGAAACCTAGAAATGCAGACCGATCATGCATCTGGTTAGCAGGAAGAAGGGGCGGGGGGGTGCAACTCCACACACATTTATCAGCAGGGATGACATATTTTAATTTAAATGTGCACCCGGTTGAATAATGTTACCCCTTGGTTTCCCACAGCATCCTGTGAATATGTTTTCTAAAAATTAATGGCTTTTTAGGGCAAGATCAGGATATTTAATCCTCTTATTCAGCCCAGGATCCAGGTAACTGTCGTGGAAAGTTGAAAAGTATTGTCTAAAGAATTATTGAAATGTAAACCAACATGGAGCTGTCAGAAAGTTTCCAGACATGTGCCTGTGTTCCAGTCTGCACTGATACTCATGCCAGTTAACTTCATGCGAAAGACCAGGACAAGACCACACACTAACATTACCCCCACAGCATGAAATATTTCAACATATCCTACATATTGACTACTTGGCTGCTGTCAAATTGGGTGAGGTTTTATGTGAATGATGGAGTCACAATTTGTAGAGGTGCTGGGTGGATGACATTGCCTCTAATAAAGTGTTTCTTATGTAAATCGTGGTTTTTGTTTGCGAAAACAAAGGTCCTAAAATTTGATCTTGTGAAAATGCAAAGTTTTTGTGTTTTGCTTTAATCAGATAATAAATGAGTTTAGTAATTGGTGTAGATTTATAACAAATCTAATCATTTTTCTTTTTTTTTCTTTTTTTGTTAGTCCTTACTTAGTAGAAAAACATCCTCAAATTAATCACTTTTTCTTAAGCTTCATGACAGTCTTGGGAATTATTAGAATGATATATACTAAGCAATAGCATCTAAAAATACATTTATATTCTGTTGATTAATATTTTATACGCAGAGCCTTTCCTTAGATTATGTGTCCCAGCATAGGATCAGATTATAACCACTGACAATGTTAACAAGCATAGGTGAGATTCGCGTCTATTTCCATCAATCGGAGCAAAGCTAATTCCCATTTGAACAATCGAGTTTGCAAAAGATATAAATGTAATTAACAGCACAGTGTTCTCAGTAGCAATAGGTGAAAATATGAAGTCATGATCCAAAAACCACCATTAACTCTATGATAGCCAAAGATTCATTTGCTACTCTTACAAATCTAATCAAAGATATATTTTTCCAGATATCTTATAGAAATACCATAAAGGCTCAAAGTGGTATAGACACTCTTTGTATCGCTAAATAGATACATTTATACCAGAAAGGAGGAAGTGAAACATGCAGGTTCATCTCAGGAAATTATTAAATAGATATGTATATAATTTTTTGTAAATAATTTATTGAGCCACATAACCCATTTCACACCTGGTATTTGTATTTAAGCTATTAAAGGATTGTTAAAGAAAATTGAAAGGCCTAGAATTACACAATGGAAATATTTTTTATCCCTTGGATATGCTTTAGTGGACCTTCAAATTTCAAGCCAAAACGTAAAAAAGTTGTTTTTTATAACTGCTACAGATAGAATTTTTGGAATTGTTTATTTTTTTGTTGGCTATATAGCTTCAGGTTTTTAAAAAATATATATTTTAAGTGTTTGAAGAGAAAAAAAATCGAAGCAACCACTGGCATTAATCTTTATGTTGGTATAGCAAAACTGATTTGTAGGTCATGACATAACTAAAATTAAATCATATTATAACTTAGTAAATATTTGTTTAAAACGCATGATTTATATTAGGTTTAAACTGTTATAAAGGTCAACCTAACTTCATCCATGCATTACAACACGAACACCACGCCCATATAATACTCGTCCCTTATTGGACGGTTTGATCTTACGTATAACCTATATTATTCTCTGATTGGCTACTACACATCGGAACTCACCGACGTGGGTGGGGTTATAACTGACAAGGAAGTGAAGTCAAACTAGTAGGACTAGTTTGCAAGGATTGTCATGATGTTGACGATTTTATTCATTGCTTTTATAGTTTTGGTCATATTTACACTTAAATATGTATTTGGCAGCTCAGGGCCGAACCCCTTCGCGAACGACTGTCGCGAGCCTTTAAAAGAGAAGGTTTACGACAAGAAAGAGAAAAACAAAGTCCTGAAACAAGGTGAGTCTATTTATGCAGACTGAGATTTTACGATCTAGAAACTGCCTGTATAATCGGAGTAGAAAACTATGCAACCGTTGAAAAAGCTACTTTGTTTTGCAAAAATATTTATAAATACATTAATTCATGATGTTGCTGCAAATCAAAAGTTTGCTAACCAAAGCGTGCTTTAGAAAAAACACCAAAGCTGTGAGATGTAAGTTATTATAAACATGGGAAATGTAAAAAAAAAAAAAAAAAAGGTTTTTACAGTTAAAAATGATGTTTATATTAAATCTATAATTAAACATAGGCTTATGAATATGTACTTTTATCTCCCTTTTTAACCACTGCTATGTTTCTTAATCAAATGTCTTTATCTGCAGGTTTCCTGGCCAGTAAGGTACCAGACAACCTGGATGCAGTGATCATTGGCAGTGGTGTGGGTGGACTCGGGCTGGCTGTGCTGCTGGCCAAAGTTGGAAAGAAGGTTCTGGTTCTGGAGCAGCATGGTCGGGCTGGGGGATGCTGCCACACGTTCACAGAGAAGGGCTTTGAGTTTGATGTTGGTGAGATGATTGTTTCATACCCTGCTAAAGTGCAAAAAAATAAACAAAAATTCTGATGAGAGTTTTGTGATGTTGTAGGTATCCACTACATCGGTGACCTGTTGGACCACAAGCCTTTTCGCTGTATGTTAGACCAGATGACTAATGGACAGCTGGAGTGGGAGAAGCTGGAGAACCCGTTTGATCATGTTATTCTGGGACCTCCTGAAAACCGGCGCTCGTACCCCATCTACAGCGGCAGCGCTCGCTTCTCTGAGGAGCTGAAGAAGCGCTTCCCTGGAGAGGAGAAAGCCATCGATGAGTTCCTAAAGCTGGCGAAGGTAGGGTCCTCTGACATACCAGACTATACTAGTATGTGAATGTATGCCTATACAAATCCATCATCAAAAGAATTAACTTCTCAGTCTTTATTATTTATTAGTTTAAGTCTTTGACTTTCTATGCAAATGCAACAACAACCTTATTTAGATCTTAACTGTCATCTATTACAAAGCTCTTTTAAGATCACAACATAAATATAAAAAGATCAAAATATTGATGGTGAAGATTCTCAGTCATCTAGGTCATAGTTATTCCAAAAAAGTAAAAAAAAAAATCCACTGGACTTTGTTTCCAAGTTTAAAGATTCCAATAAGGATGGGAAGCGAAATGTCTTCAAATTTGGAAACAAAGTCCAGTGGGTTGTTTTTTTTTTAAATGTTTTGGAATCAAAATATTAAATATATCAAAGTACATGTTAGACACAAATGGAACGAGGTTTGTGTGTAATTTCCCATTTATAAACGATGTAACAAAAATAAAAATATAAATCACAACTTGGCAGATTTCAGTTTTTGAATTTCTTTATAAATCGGTGACTGAAAATCCTAAAAAAACATAGAAAAAACAAAAAGTGATATACAAGTTCAGACCATTTAACAATTTAACTTATAAACTATTGTTGGTGTAAAACTGGTTAAGATTTTTTTTGTCATATTTATTGCAACTGTTACTTATTCATTAACAGTTCAAGGACAATTTCTTATTTTGTCCTTCACGAAAACAACAAAAATGATTTTTTTTTTCTGCTTACAGAAAAGTTACCAAGTAACTTATACTTGAAGTAAAATTTAATGAGATAAATTTTACTTTTGGTAACTTTACTTGCAAATTTTACTTTTGGTAACTTTACTTGCATTTGAGTAATTTAAAAAAGTAATATGAATTACTTTAATTTTTTTGCTCTCTTTCCACCTCTGCATTGCACCAAGTACTGTACATGAGCTAAATTACTCCATCCACTCTCTGGGTTCTATTAACCACAAAAAAAATATATATATTTTTTTTTTTCATGTTACAACTACAAACTTCTGATATTTTTTGTTATTGTTGTTTTTTTAGGGAGGAAATTTTCTGTGTCTACTATTTGGATAAAACTCCAGTCCCAACAATTCAGTCATTAGAAGGACTATGTAAACCGTGATTGCATGGTGAGAAGGCAATTGCTTTCAAGTTAATAAATAAAGATTTGTGTAAAAACTTGTGTTTCCTAGTCAAAGCTTTTAATAAAAGTCAAGCATTAGTTTTGATAATTTAGATCACAGTCTGTCCTGCATCCAGCATCCTGCAAGTTTGAGATGTTTCCTTGCTTCAGTTTATCGCTGAAATGCAGTCGCATAAATCAGAAAACGGCCTTTTGTGTATGCAGAAAAACTCTGTAATGTTTGAGTTCAGTTCATGAAACACTGGAGAAACAACGCTGCTATGGTTTCATCTGAAACCACAGCAGCTGCGTTACCAAGTGCATTCCCTGCTGGAAGACTGTAACCATCTGTCTTTGTTTTGTCTGCAGAAAACCGGCCGGGGAGTCTGGGTCCTGGCTCTGCTCAAACTCTGCCCTTTACCTTTGGCTAAGTTTCTGATCCACACCGGTCTTGTCAAACGTCTGTCCTTCTTCTTTAAAATGGCGCCACGCAGCCTGACAGAGGTGGTCAATGAACTGACTGAGAACAAGGACCTCAGAGCTGTCTTTACCTACATCTTTGGCACCTATGGTACGTCTACTGATGGTTTATTTTTCTTTTGTCATTATCGTTGCGTCCTCCTTACTGTAACTCATCATTTTCTCCCATTTTATGTTTTTGGGATATTCTTGTCTTAAACAGTATGTATCCACAGGTCCTTTTTATTGATTTCTTATAAGCGAATCTAATCCTTCCCATGCTCATCTTCACCTAAGAAATTCATTAAGTGTTGAAGTTTATTTGAGCTATATCATGCAATTGTAGTCAAACTCCTTTAACCTTAAGAATTTTGTCCCTTTACAACCAAAATCGAGCTTTTTCATATTTCTTTACTACAAATGAAACATGGCTGCAACTGCATGCTCATAAATCAGGGTGGGGGTGACTTACAAACAATATTGACCTAAACATGACACCCACTTTTTGTGTGTGTGTGTGTGGGGGGGGTGTGGGGGGTAATTTCTATAAAATTTCTTTGACACTTGAGTAATTTATTTGTTAGCAGGATCCTCAGTCCTTCCATTTTTACATTTCACCTGCAGGCAACATACCAAAAGATGCCAGCTTTGCCATGCACAGTCTACTAGTCACCCACTATCTAAGCGGCGCCTGGTATCCAAAGGGTGGCAGCAGTGAGATCGCCTACCACATGATTCCAATCATTGAAAAGGCAGGGGGCGCTGTTCTGGCTCGAGCTCCAGTCAACCGTATCTTGTTCAACAATAAGAACGAAGCTTGTGGTGAGTTTAACTTCATGAGTTAATAAAGCAGATTCATAGATGAGATGAATCTATAGTTTCCTCTTCTGTTTTCAGGTGTGAGTGTGTTAAAAGGTCAGGAGGAGGTGCATGTTCATGCTCCTATGGTCATTTCTAATGCTGGTATCTTCAATACCTATGAAAAGCTACTGCCTAAGGAGCTCCGGGCCATGCCAGGTCAGACAGCATTTACACTTATCACAAAACGTCTCCATGCTTTTGTTTCTAGGTATTTAATCAGTAGCTTTCTGCTATTATCCTGTATTGCAGATGTCCAGAAGCAGCTCAGTATGGTGAAGCACGGTGAAGGAGGCCTGAGCATCTTTGTGGGTTTAAATGGAACCAAGGAGGAGCTGGGCCTGAAAGCAAACAACTATTGGATCTTTGCTGAGAACAATTTTGACGAGCTGTAGGTTTTCACTTTTATTTCGTATTAGATTAACGCTTGAACTTAGCATTCAGTCAACAGGACAATACAGGTCCTTCTCAAAATAATAGCATACTGTGATGAAGTTCGTCATTTTCCATAATGTAATGATAAAACTTGAACATTTATATATTTTAGATTCATTGCATACTAACTGAAATATTTAAGGTCTTTTATTTTCTTAATACGGATGATTTTGGCATACAGCTCATGAAAACCCCAAATTTCTATCTCCAAAATTAGCACATCATCAAAAAGGTCTCTAAACAAGTTATACCCCTGATCTTCTGAATCAACAAATTAACTTTAAATACCTGTAAAAGATTCCTGAGGCCTCTAAAACTCCCAGCCTGGTTCATCACTCAAAACCCCAATCATGGGTAAGACTGCCAACTTGAATTGCTGTCCAGAAGGCCATCATTGACACCTTCAAGCAAGAGGGTATGACACATAAAGGTGTTTCTGAATGAATAGGCTTTTCCCAGAGTGTTGTATCAAGGCACCTCAATGGGAAGTCTGTGGAAGGAAAACGTGTGGCAGAAAACGCTGCACAGCGAGAAGAGGTGACCGGACCCTGAGGAAGATTGGGGAGACGGGCCGATTCCAGACCTTGGGGGACCAGAGCCACCGTGCACAGGCGTGTGCAGGAAATTAGCTACAGGTGCCATATTCCCCAGGTCAAACCCCTTTTGAACCAGAAACAGTGGCAGAGGCGCCTGACCTGGGCTACAGAGAAGCAGCACTGGACTGTTGCTCAATTTTGCATGACATCGAGGTGCCAGAGTCTGGAGGAAGACTGGAGAGAAGGAAATGCCAGAAGTCCAGTGTCAAGTAGCCACAGTCAGTGATGGTCTGGGGTGCCATGTCAGCTGCTGGTGTTGGTCCACTGTGTTTTATCAAGGGCAGGGTCAATGCAGTTACCTATCAGGAGATTCTGGAGCACTTCATGCTTCCATCTGATGAAAAGCTTTATGGAGATGAAGATTTCATTTTTCAGCATGACCTGGCACCTGCTCACAGTGCCAAAACCACTGGTAAATGGTTTACTGACCATGGTATCACTGTGCTCAATTGGCCTGCCAACTCTCCTGACCTGAACCCCATAGAGAACCTGTGAGATATTGTGAAGAGAAAGTTGAGAGACTCAAGACCAAAAACTCTGGATGAGCTAAAGGCCGCTATCGAAGCATCCTGGGCTTCCATAACACCTCAGCAATGCCACAGGCTGATTGCCTCCCTGCCACGCTGCACTAAAGCAGTCATTTCTGCAAAAGGATTCCTGACCAAGTATTGTGTGCATAAATGTACATAATTATTTGAAGGTTGACTTTTTTGTATTAAGAACACTTTTCTTTTATTTGTCGGATGAAATAAGATAATTTTGTGGGATAGGAGTTATGGGTTTTCATGAGTTGGTGTGCAATGAATCTAAAATGTATGAATGTTCAAGTTTTATCATTACATTATGGAAAATAATGAGTTTTATCACAATATGCTAATATTTTGAGAAGGACCTGTATGTTTCTATTCATTTAAGATTCAAATATTAAGCGAACTTTTAAAGATTCGAAGAAAAAGAAAAAAAGAAAATGCGAATTTGAAGTGTTTCCATTTGGTTTGAAGCGAGTTAACCAACCCCCGCAAAGGCGTCCTACGTTATCATCCATCTTACCTCATCAAGCATGGCTGAAGTAAACTGGAAGGAGACACTGCAGTCTAGCACTGAGCATATAATGTTTGACATTTTTAATAAATGTGTTGCTATTGGTTAAGTTGGTCTTACAATAAAGGTATAGTGTAGGATTTTTGCAAATATTTGAAAAGAACTGCCCTCTCCAGTTTAAAAAAAAAAAAAAAAAAGGCACATGCATAACCCTGTTCCTGCTCCTGATAGGGAAAGCCTAGATTACAGTCTATGATGATATTTTCTTAGGACTAAAAGGGTTATTTTCTTATGGTATGAATCAAAATACTCAGGAGCTCTGATGTACTTTTTGGCTGTTCTGGAATAAATACAGATACTATGAGCTCTTTGCTACCACATGACGTAAAGTCACGCATTTCCAAGATGTTTGTCCTTCATGCAAATGTTAGATATACAGGCTAACAGGGGCTGGCAGCTTTTGGTATAACTACATCACGGTTATCTCTGTTTATTACAGGGTGGAGAAGTACATGAATGAGGAGAGGGAAGAGGCTTCTAAAAAGATACCTCTGCTGTTTGTTGCTTCACCATCAGCCAAGGATCCATCATGGGAGGAGAGATCACCAGGTACCGTTAGAGGAGTTTAGGATGGCCCCCTCATATGGATGCATCCTTCATCCATGTATTTTTTTCTTCTAGGGAAGTCAACTTTGAGCCTGGTCAGTTTTGCCAAATACTCCTGGTTCGAGGAGTGGAAGGACGAAAAAGTGAAAAACAGAGGGGGCGACTACAAAGAGCTGAAACAGGCGTTCATTGACTCCGCGCTGGATGTGGTGATGGACGTTTTTCCCAAGATCACCAGAGACAAGGTACAAGTTATTCAGTTATGTTCAAAAACGCCAAGCAGGAACTTTCTTCTGCTGTAGGAGTGTTAAAGAAAAGCCTACGTCATTAAAGTAAAATGTTTAACTTGAAGCAATGCAGCTATACCCAGTGACTGTCAGTCTCTAGGCTTTATTTCTTGTATGGATTCAGACAAAGTGTGTGGAAAGAAACAAAAGAAAATTTCTTTTGGTCTTAATTTACTTAATTTACTGTTTTCGCTGGAGCAAAATGGGAAAAGATAAATCTTGTTAAAACATGCCCAAAGTCCTGTCAGCGATTTTTTAGTCCATGCAGTTTCCAGGGTTTTCTTAGGGAACCTGATAAGCCCTGAACTTTCAGTCAGACTACGTAGCAATTCAGTGGAAATTTCATGGGTCTGAGAGGCAGAGATGCGGGTACAAAGTAAAACCCTTTCAATTTGGGGGAAAATACAAAAACAGGTTTGGAGTTGCATAGTGCGTACTGTATATAGCAAGCGGGAAAGACTTGTACAAAAACAATAAATGAAACATAAAAAAATAAATACTTTATCCATGATTGGAATTCAGGAGGACAGAAAAAATGAAAAATGTAGCGATCGTCTTTGAGCTTTACAAAAACAAAGAGGGACAGAAAACGCAGTTTATCAATCTCGGAAAAAATAAAAGTAAAACATCAAGAGGACAGAAAATTGATTTAGAAAAATAGTGATCCTCTTTGAAAAAAACAGAACAGCAAGGCGCAGACAGAGCGGGTAAGTAAAATGTATCACTCTCCCCTTTTTGTGAAAAAAAAGAAAAACAAAACTTCGATACATTTCCCAGCTCAGTCAGCATATAAAAGTTCCTGCAGCCTTTATTACTGAGTTTTTCTTTTCTTTAGACGTAGATCTCATATTTTTAATATGGGCATAGGAATATTCTCTATCTGTTCTCTGCAGGTTCATGGAATATTCTCTATCTGTTCTGGTTAGAGATGCTGCACAGACTCATTAAATATTTGTGTTTTTTTTTCAAATAATTTCTCGCAATTGACCAAGTAAAGTATGAAGATTTTTTTGTAATTTGTGTAGCAAAGAGACAGAAGGGGAAAGACATCTGTACAGATCTCACCCTGCCTAGAAGGAGCTGCTCTATATGCAGTCGTGACATGGAAAAAAATTCGAATCAGAGATTAAAAAAGTCACACAACCGATGTGTTTTGGCCTTTAAGTAATGGTCTCAGGCTCCATTCTTTGTGTCTGTTCCTGCAGATTTTGAATTGGTTCCTGTTCCAATACATCTGACTTCAATATTAGTTCTTTATCAGACTGCATGATAATGAAGCAGTGGATGGTTTTAGTTTCTTTACAGTACAATAGTTAACATTTTTTAATTAGTTTTATTTGTAAAACAATCTTTTTTTTTTTTTACCAGTATTCTGGAGATTCGTAGTACATAATCAGGTCGCTGTCCTTATTAGTCAGTTTATAATGTTTTTGCAGATTGAGTACGTGGATGCTGGAACCCCCATCACTAACACACACTACATCGGAGCGCCCAAAGGTGAGATCTACGGGATGGACCATGGCATCGCCCGTTTCAGCCCTGAGCTCAACGCTTTGATTAGACCTCAGACTCCTCTGAAGAACCTCTATCTGACAGGTGAGTCCTACACTGCCAGAAGATTCAAACAGATGCCATCCTTCTGCTTTAGTCACACCTGTTGCCTTGTTGCGTGTGCTGTTTACAGGCCAGGATGTGTTTTTGTGCGGTTTTGCTGGCGCCCTCGCCGGAGCGCTCACCTGTGGCTCGGTCCTCCTCAACCGCAACCTCCACCTAGATACTATCGGCTTGGCAAAGAGAACAAAATATATGAAGAACAAGCTGAAAGACGAGTAGCTGCTCTTGTTTACCATGTTTCAACGTATTCTTCAGGTTGGCTAAGCAGCTGTTGTTTAATCAGTGGACAGTGAAGTCCAATGTCTGGATTTCCAAAGGGTGCAGGTTGGATCATGTCATCTGGGGAAATGGTTTGTTTATAAATGTTAGTTTACTAAAAGGTAGTCACTCTATTGCCCCTGAAGAGAATGCAGTTTCCGGTCCTGAAGAAGCAGCAAAATAATCAAAAAACTAACAGGAAATACAAAGCTATGTTAAGTTAAAAATGCAAAAAAACCAGTGCTTGGAGAATAATGTTGTTATGGATCGTAATGCTCTGCAATTATCTGCATCTGTTTCTTGACCTCAGAGATGCAGAACAAAGTCTTAGTGCAGAGGTTGGTTCTAGTTTCCCATAGCTGGCATTCTTTCTGCACAAGCTGCTGCTTTTAAATCAATAGGAGGTCTGGTAATTTACTGACCACTTTCACCTCTGTTTCATTTTGTAGAGCACCAAATTGTAACTTCTTTAAACCAGGCAATAATGAGAGATGTTCACACATTTATAAAGATTCTTAAAATCACACTTTGGCCCTTTTTATTTTCTTTTTTTGTCTGGTTTTGGGTGAAATGACTTACTAAAATGAAATATACAGTGTCAAACTAATAATAACCATGCGGTCTGTGAGTTAAGTAATGTGTCGGTGAGTAAAATACACAGCAGAGGTTAGAGGAAAGATCCCTGATGCTGTTAAGTCTCACTGTTTGAGGCCTGAATGTTCAGAAACTCAACAGTTTAACTGATGTTGGCTTCTTAATGAGATGAAGGCCTTTCCAAGACTATTGGTCTCTGTTCAGGAGGCCTGCTTGTAGCCAGTTGAATGCTGTGGCATTGGCATAAGCTATGGAAATAAATCTGTCAAATAATTTAACAGTCTGCCTCTGGTGTTTTCGCATTGTTCTTATTTACCTTAGTAATGACAGAACATATTCTCCAAATATTAACCACACAGCTGATTTTAAGCTTTGTTAATTCCTTATTTATTTTTATTGAGGGCAATTGGCCTATATTCTTTCAATGTTTGCATGTTGTTCAATGAGGCTGTAAGATGGTATCCATGACAACAGTACTGTCAAGAGCTTTTGTTTAACGCAGAGGTGACAGTTTCTGTAAGGAAACCCCTTTACATGTTCCTTCTGCTCGTTCAACCTGCATGTTTCAGCTCGTCAAATAAATGTTTCTGTCAAAGACGACTTTAATGAACACAAAATGCAGTTTTCCAGTGATAACTACCGGTATAAGGAAAAAAGGTTATCACGGTAAGTTTTAATAGGTATCAAACAGCACTTACTTATCTAGTTAATCAATCTCACCTTTGATCACAACAACAGCTGACAAAAAGTCATCCTGTATGTGGAGTAATTCTGTCCCACTCCTTGTTTAGGGGGACATCCCTCTGGACGGGTTTCTGAGAATTAAGGCCCTGCTCTTTTTTCCACTGGAAAAATTTCATTTGAATGAGAAGTTTTGTTTTTTAATATTCTTCATTTCTTCAGAAAGGTTCAATTTAAGCTTTTCTATAGCTCTCTTTGAAATCAACTATGGCAGCACATTTAGGATTTAAACCAGTTTATTTGGATTGCATTTTTCTCTGGAAAAAAAAGCACATCTTATATAAAGCATTGCATATAATTTCATATTTGTTATTGTTGTCTAATAATATATTTTTCTAATGATCCTAAATATTTGCTTGGTTTTCTATGCTTTCAGTATTACAAAGCTTGATAAACCTGCAACTGAAAAAAGTCCATCTCCTGTAAATAAATGCCAAGATACTTCCATCCATCCGTTTTCTGTCCTGCTTAATCCCAAGTGGGGTTGCGAGGGGTGCTGGTGCCCATCTCCAGCTGTCTACGGGCGAGAGGCGAAGTACACCTGGACAGGTTGCCAGTCCATTGCAGGGCAACACAGACAAACAGGACAAACAACCATTCACACACACACCCAAGGAAACTTTAGAGAAACCAATTAACCTAACATTCATGTATTACACTGTGGGAGGAAGCTGGAGTACAGAAGAGTACAGCGGCAGTGCTACCCACTGCACCATTGAGCAGCCAGCAGGCTACCATACACTTACCTTAATCCATCTTGTGTAGGTCAGACTCAGAACCATTTTCCCCTTTCTAGATAAGCATGAATATGCCCCATCAAAGACTGTGAATGGGGTGTACTATCTGCTTGTTAAAAAGCCAAGATTGAAGCTCTGTGTTTTAATGCTGTAAAGAGTAGATTTAATATGCATTAAGATTTTATTTATAACAGTTTGATAGCTTATTAAATATATATATATATATATATATATATATATTTTTTTTTTTTTTAACAACAAACTATACTGTATAGGAATATCATGTAGTTAAAAACACTCAACACAATACTATGTAAAAAAAAAAATGCCTTTGAGATGTTATTTAGTCACTTTTATTGTGATTAGAGTCAAGTTTACCAAAACAATGATTCAGATTCTTTGATTGGTTACCGTCACGTGACAGAAACCGTGCCCTCTGATTGGCTACTGTCCTGGTAGAGGTGCGTTATTCTATGAAGGGGAAAACAACAGCGCAGTTTGTTTAATTAACGCATTAAAGATAAGTTTGACGCAATGTTGATTTTATTTATAGTTTGCGTTTTTTCAGTCCTATTAATACTTAAATATGTCTTCGGTGGTTCAGAGCCGAACCCTTTTGGGAAGGACTGCCGAGAACCGCTGAAAGAGAAAGTTTACGACAAGAAAGAGAAAAATAAAGTGTTGAAGCAAGGTGAGTCTATTAATGACATTTTGACAGGTACAGAAATGTCAACCAACATAAGCGTATATATCATTAAACTATATGTGGAATTGGAAAAAATTTGATATGAAACTTATTTAAACCTACCAATTTAAAGGAATGTTTTGTAATTTTTTTTTTATTTATTTTTAATTATATTTTTTGCATGTAGTCATGTTTATCATAGCATTTGTCTAATTTGTTTAACTTATTCAGATGCAAACACTCATTCTATAAATGTTCTATGAATAAAAATTTTGATTTTATATAATAATTTGTACAAACTGTTCTTCATTTCTGTTCATTTGGATCAAGAGGAGAAAGTTGAATGAATGAAAAAAATGTTTAATACCTGCTTAAAGTAGGCTTTATCTGAAAATAAAGTTCCATTAGAATGCATATTGTAGTTGGTTTTAATGATGAGTGTTTATTTGTGAAAAAATGTTCTGTTTGGTTGTAGTTTTTACAGAAAGAAGGATTTAAATAATAATTTTTGCTTGATGTTATTTTTGTTTTTTCTTCTTTTTTTTTTTTTAAACCATTATTTGTTTATCTGCAGGTTTCCTGGCCGGTAAGGTACCAGACAACCTGGATGCAGTGATCATTGGCAGTGGTGTGGGTGGACTCGGGCTGGCTGTGCTGCTGGCCAAAGTTGGAAAGAAGGTTCTGGTTCTGGAGCAGCATGATCGGGCTGGGGGATGCTGCCACACGTTCACAGAGAAGGGCTTTGAGTTTGATGTCGGTGAGATTATTGTGTGCTTTCCCCTCTTCAAAAATATCAGAAAACCTTTACATAAGTGTTTGTCAAATGGTTTCTATTTGACTAACTGATTCATAGGAATCCACTACGTCGGTGAACTGTCGGAACACACTCCTCTCCGCTGCATGCTGGACCAGATGACCAATGGGCAGCTGGAGTGGGAGCCTCTGGAGGACGCATACGACCACGTCATTCTGGGACCTCCTGAAAACCGGCGCTCCTACCCCATCTACAGCGGCAGCGCTCGCTTCCCTGCGGAGCTAAAGAGGCGTTTTCCTGGAGAGGAGAATGCCATTGATGAGTTCATGAGGCTGGTGAAGGTAGATCTATGTGATGTCTCTCTAGTTTGAAAGGGTTTTATCATTCCAGTCGTAAATGCCTTTTCTCCCAGTGTACTTTGGCTAAGACTCATTTTATAATTCAGATTTGTTTGCCGTTGGTTCATCAAAATCAAAGGTCAGAGTTAATGGTAAGGGCAGTTTTAATCTGTTCCAGGCATATCATTACAGATAAGTAACTCCTGCTTTGATGCTCACTTTAGTTTAACACTAAGATAACTATTGATGGTACAAATTAAAACTCCTAATCTTTTTCTTTACATTTCCGGATGACATCCCTGGAAGATGATAGACCTCATATAATTTTTTTTTTTAAATAATGCAATTAAGTTTTTTTTACAAATGAAAATTTAAATAACATTTTGGTAAACTCATGGTCTTAATAAGTTGTAGGTGATGGTAAAGTGGGAAGATTTGAAGTCTTGAGGAAACTTTCCTCGAGCAAACATATAAGAGCTGTTTAAACTTAAGCCGCAGTGTGTAGTGTGATAAATTAACGTATAAATGGGATATAAAGTGAATAAATGTAAATGTCCATACCGCTCTCCTGTAACCGTCTCTGCGTGTTTGTGCTTCGTCTGCAGAAAACTGAGTTTGGCGCATGGCTCCTTGCTGTGCTCAAACTCTGCCCCTTACCTTTGGCTAAGTTTGTGATCCACACCGGCCTCGCCAAACATCTCTCTTTCTTCTTTAAAATGGCGCCACGCAGCCTGACAGAGGTGGTCAATGGGCTGACTGAGAACAAGGAGCTGAGGGCTGTTTTTACCTACATCTTTGGCACCTATGGTACACCCTGCTGTGTTTAGGAGATGACTTCATTCACAGACGTGCTGCTTACCTATTTTTTCGGGATCTTTAGGTAAAAGGCCAAAAGATGCCAGCTTCGCCATGCACAGTATACTGATCACTCACTACCTAAGCGGCGCCTGGTATCCAAAGGGTGGCAGCAGTGAGATCGCCTACCACATGATCCCAATCATTGAAAAGGCAGGGGGCGCTGTTCTGGTTCGAGCTCCAGTCAACCGTATCTTGTTCAACAATAAGAACGAAACTTGTGGTGAGTTTAACTTCATGAGTTTATAAAGCAGTTTCATAGATGAGATTAACTATATTTTCTTCTTCTGTTTTCAGGTGTGAGCGTGTTAAAAGGTCAGGAGGAGGTGCATGTTCATGCACCTATGGTCATTTCTAATGCTGGTATCTTCAATACCTACGAAAAGCTACTGCCTAAGGAGCTCCGGGCCATGCCAGGTCAGACAGCATTAATGGATTGTCATAGTGTCCTGCAAAAATATTCAGACTCTTTAAACTTTTTAAATGTTGTAGTCACAACCACAAACTTGGGATGTATTTGGTAGAGCAGCTCAGAGCACTGCATAAACTTAACCTGAAGGGTGAAAACATAGATGGCTTTATTTTCTTTATTGAAAAATGTTCATCCATCAGTGGTATCTATTAGTCTTTTCTAGGGGTGTAAATAATAATTGTTTTGTATCGATGCATCGATCCAACAGCCGACAATCCGATGCATCAAGACGTCCGCAAGAGAATCTAATCATTTTATAAAATTCCTTCGGTCTATTTTTATCCATTTGCTCCTGGACGTAATTCTGACTCCGTGCTGCGGTGGCGATAAACCTATTTTGCCCTCCTACCTCGCTTCCTTTAGGCACCCTCTTTCCGCTTCCACACACACACTCGCGTAAACACAGATGCAGCTTTCATTGATTTATTTCAAATTTGACACATTGTCTAGCCTGTAAGGTAAAACAAATTACTCAATTAATTGAATCGAATCGTATTGTGCTGTATTCTTGAGTATCAAAAATAATCGAATCATTGGGTCAGGAAATTGATACTGAATCGAATCGCCATGATGGGTGTGATTTACACCCGTAGTCTTTTCATTTACTCGTATTTTTCTAGTAAACCTAATTTGCTAGCTTGGGTTGAATAATTGAAGCTACAAATATATAATCATTGGGTCTTATGCAAAAAACTTTTTTCGTATTCTTGTAAATTTCTCTTAAATTTTCTCCTACCGTGGGCTTTTACGAACTCGACATGTTAGATTCAATTCAATTCAGTTTATTTATATAGCGCCAATTTACAACGCATGTCATCTCAAGGCACTTTACAGTTCAACCAGATCATACAGTCAGATTCATGCAGTTTTCTATCTAAGGAAAACCAGTTGATTGCATGGACTTATTGACTCAAAGGCAATCCCTTATAATAAGCATGCTTGTTGCGACAGTGGAGAGGAAAAACTACCTTTTAACAGGAAGAAACCTCCAGCAGAACCAGGCTCAGTGTGAGCTGCCATCTGCCGAGGCCGATTGGGGTTCAAGGAGACAGAAGAAGACATAGAAAAAGAAGCAGACGTACAAAAGGCAAAAATTCTTAACTACAGTAAATGATCGTAAATAATTTTTGTAAATGTGATGAACTCCACCTGTGCATTAGTCAGCACACATCCCAGAGAAATGTAAATCTGTCGAATTATAACCCCAAGTGAACATGCAGGAGTTTATTCATAAAAATGGCATTAACGACTGAGATGGAAAACTTAAAAGGTTTGCGGATCGAGGTTTGCTGACTGAGAGCTGAGCAACAGACTTTAAAGAAACCAGCAAAAAGTCAAGCAGTGGGAAATAAATAAATAGAGCTGTAAATGCAGTCTTTGCAATTCGTGATCAAGCTTGAAAGGTTCAGTTTAGGCAACTGGACGTGAACTTTTCTAGTAGAAGTTTCACCGTTAATCCCAGAGGCTTCCTGACTTCTAAATGGTGGTAGGGAGCACTGAGATTACTATACTGTAGGTGTAACAAAGAATTAGGGCGAACAAAATGTTACAGAAGTAGAAATAAAATAAACGAGTAAAAATAATATAAAAAGAAAAAAAAATTTAATCTGAAAACTGTCGGTAAAAATTAGAAATGGAGGCAAGAAGTGCAACGTATAATGTAAATAAATGCTTAACATGAGTTCAAGATCATCTAGCACCACAACGTTCTGCTAAGTCTCCTTTTAAAAACAGACACGTGTGCTGTACATCTCCAGAACACTTCAACCATCCCTTCATCATACTCTAAAAAAATCATACTACATAGAAAATATTGACGGCAAACCTCTAATTTAATGAAGTCAGACAGACCCAAACCCAAATATTCCACATTTAGTGTAATTACAAAGCCAGTAAGGTGCAATAGAGAGAAATGAATTAAATTCTGACCGTTAGAGGAGCTTTGCTGTACTTTCCATCCGTTTTCTATTCCAGATGTTATTTCAATAGTACAGCAGCTTGATCTCTGACTGTTCTTTCTTTTGAAGAAATGACAAATTAAAACAGTGTCCTCTGGATACCGACCTGTCGTCTGCAAGTATTGACATATAGAATACAATTTGAATTTATAATTGCCGTGTTGCGAAATATATCATGATGTAACCTAATAAAATTGAAAATTGCTTGTCATTTAGTGAAAAATTAGATTTGGATACCTACCCTAATGTGTAGGTACCTGAGAGAAGATTAGAAATAGGAGAAAAATGGTGATTGTGACATGTTTTTCCTAATTCACTCATATGAACAACTTAAAAATAGTTTGTTCGTACGAACGGTTCTTGCATGAGGCCCATTGAATATCAACTCACTACAGATTTTATATCTGGACTTTGAACCCAAGAGTTTCCACAGTCATCTCTATGTTGTTTTGAAAGGGTGTTTCATTTAAAACTATTTGGAATAATAGATTGAACAGTGATTTATGAGCTGCTCAAGTTTAGAACAATATGTTTTAACTCAACTCTCCTTTAAAAGATTCCAGTACTCCATTCCTGAGTGCTCTGTTTCCTTTCTTTGGCACCAATGTGTTTCAGTTTGTTCACTAATGCTAACAACCCTCTTCACAGAACAACCCGATTTATTCAGAGATACATTATAAAATATCAACTTTATTCAGTAATTATATAAGTTATGAAGCTAATTGGATACTAGATTGTATATAAGCTCTATTTAATTATACCATTCTGTAATGAATCACTCTGCCTGTCAGTCTGTTGAACATCTGGCTGGAATCAATAACTTTTCCAGGGGAATAAATTATATCACAAGTTTAACAAAACCCATCATTGCTATGATTCATTTTCAGCAGGATTAATAACAGAAATTCTCATGAAGATAATGTTAATGTTAATTTCTTATTAGTTAAAATGATATATTTGCAGGTATGTTCTAACTATAATAATAAACAAATAAAAGAAACACCAAAGATAAGAACAAACAACAATCCAGTTCTACAGATAGGAATTAAAGAGTGTTTGAAGAAAAAAAAGAAACTTCCAGAAATCTTGTATTAGCTCTAACAGCTATATCAGCCTCACTGGGTTTTCATGAAGCCTCATATGAAAAGACTTTAACATCATCTGATTTCTTCATCTACTTTGAGAGAAAAAGTCGATGAAAGGGTTTGAAGTTTTCGTTTCTTCTCCACTTCCAGATCAAACGAGTAACAGAATCTTTCCTCCTCCTTTCTATTGGGAATACCAACCATTTCTTTCTGAATATCTGATTTAAAGTCTTGGCCAGTCTCAGGCGTCTCCCTAATGAATTTCCTGGGAATGAGGGAAGGGGGTCTGTCCAACAGACTGGGATGTTTGGATGCAACTTAGTTTTTCAGATCCTTACCACCTATTAATAACACCAGATTAAACACAGAAACAACACAACATCCCAGAAAATAAAAATCTAATTTCAAAGAATATTAGCAGAACAATAAAAAGTTGGACTTGGGTGTATTTGGTATGCGTTGCCAAAGGATGTATGAGACATGAAGTCTATGAAAGTCTTCTCATCAAACCAGCGCTTTAGAATACCTCAAACATTTCTGTTGGTGTTCAAACAATTAATTAAAACTGTGACACAATTGTTATTGCTGCAGCAAAACAATCATCAGACAACTTAAACTATCAAGTTTTCTTTTAGTCTTGGTATAATTAAAAACGACAGGAAAATGGCTTTGAAGACCTGAAGGCTTTAGTCTGGGTGCCTGGATAAAAATGTACTTTCAAATGCTGGATCAAAGGGAATGACATGAGAACAAATCTGAACAAGTCTTTGCTTGATTTCATTTATAGATGTTAAAGAGAAAGAGTTGAAAGAGTTAAAATGCTAATTTCTAAATTTAATCCTTTCTCACTACTTAACAGTTTTATGCTACTTTGTATGATTCTGCTCACACGCTATTTAGATAAAAATCCTAAACTGTTTAAGTTGTGATGTTACAAAACGAGTAACTTTGTTTTTTTAAGGTACTGACTATTTGCTGATTGCTTTGTTATCAATCATTTTTTAAGCAGCTTTTTTCTCCAGACGTCCAGAAGCAGCTCAGTATGGTGAAGCACGGTGAAGGAGGACTGAGCATCTTTGTGGGTTTAAATGGAACCAAGGAGGAGCTGGGCCTGAAAGCCAAAAACTACTGGATCTTTGCTGAAAACAATTTTGATGAACTGTAAGCCTGTTTTCTTTTATTTTTGCCTTCTGTACTCTTTCCTTCTAAATTCAGGAAGTTGAATTCTGGGTACGTCATGGGACGGTGCATCTCTCTGCAGGTCTTCTTGTGAATGTTGAAGATGCTCCGCGCAGAAGCTTGCTGGTATTAATATAACAGATGTTTCTGGTTTTATTAAAGGATGGATAAATATATGAATGAAGGGAGGGAAGAGGCTTCTAAAAAAATCCCTCTGCTGTTTGTTGGCTCCCCTTCAGCCAAAGATCCATCATGGGAGGAGAGATCGCCAGGTACCGTTCCATGAGCTCGGAGGATGGGAATGTCCCCTCATTGGGACGCAGACTTCATCCTTGTCATTTTGTTTCAAGGGAAGTCGACTTTGAGCCTGGTCAGTTTTGCCAAATACTCCTGGTTCGAGGAGTGGAAGGACGGCAAAGTGACAAACAGAGGAGACGATTACAAAGAGCTGAAACAGGCGTTCATTGACTCCGCCCTGAATGTGGTGATGGACGTTTTTCCCAAGATCACTAGAGACAAGGTACGATCTGTTTGTCCATCTGCTCCTTAACTGCTGCTGATATTTGTCACAATAGTATGTGTCTTTCTCAGGTTGCATTTTGTACATTCACCAGGAGTATTCAGGAAGGAAAATAAGTATTTGAACACCCTGTTATTCTGCAAGATCTCTGACTTAGAAATCATGGAGGGGTCTGAAACTGTCATCGTAGGTGCATGTCCACTGAGAGACATAATCTAAAAAGTAAAATTCCAGAAATCCTAATGTATGGATTTTTTAAACTATTTATTTGTGTGATACAGCTGCAAATAAGTATTTGAACATCCGCCTATCAGCTAGAATTGTGACCCTCAAAGATCTGGTAGTCTGCCTTTAAAATGTCCACCTCCACTCCATTAATTATCCTTAATTAGATGCACCTGATTGTGGTCGTTAGCTGCATAAAGACAACTGGCAACCCCACAGTAAGAATCCAACATGGTCAAGACCAAAGAGCTGTCTAAAGACACTAGAAACAAAATTGTACATCCCCATAAGGCTGGAAAGGGCTACAGGGAAACTGCCAAGCAGCTTGGTGAAAGCATGTCCATTGCAATCATTAGAAATTGGAAGAAGCCTTGGACTGGGGCTCCAAGATCTCACCTCTTGGGGTCTTAATGATCCTAAGAAATCAGACCAGAACAACAAGGGAGGAGCTGGTCAGTGACCATTTGGATGAACCAGAGGAGTCATGGGAGAAAGTCATGTGGTCAGATGAGACATGAGAGCATTGAAGATGGGTCTAGGCTGGGCCTTCCAACAGGACGATGACCGAAAGCACACAATCAGGATAACAAGGAATGGTTCTGTAGGAAGCATGTCAAGGTTCTGTTGTGGCCTAGCCAGTCTCCAGAACTGGACCCAATAGAGGATCTTCAGAGTAACCCTTAAAATCCGTTTCTCAGTGACAACCCAGAAACCTGACTGATCTAGAGAAGATCTGTATGGAGCAGTGGGCCAAAAATCTTCCTGCAGTGTCTGCAAAGCTGGTGAAAAGCTACAGGAAACATTTGACCTCTGTAATTTCAAACAAAGGCTACTGTAATGTTAACATTGATTTTCTCAGGTGTTCAAATACTTATTTGCAGCTTTATCATACAAATAAATAGTTAAAAACAATCATACATTTTGATTTCTGGTTTTGTTTTTTGTTTTTTTAGATCATGTCTCTAACAGTGGACATACACCTACGATGACAATTTCAGACCCATTCCTGATTTCTTAGTGGGAGAACCTGCAAAATAGCAGGGTGTTCAAATACTTATTTTCCTCCCTATATATACACTGTATGTCACTAGAGGAAATTAAAGTTTATACAGCTTCAGGGTCAGTGCTACAGCTGAAAAGTTTAGATTAAACAAGCTTTGAAGTCATAAAATGCTAAAGTTATATTGATATCCTGCTAGATATAAATTTAGAGTCTATTTTCTTACAAATATCTTTGTTGTTTGGAGGTTCTAAAAATAAAGGTTCCATAAAAATATTTCTTATCGGGGAAAAAAAAGCAAACTGAAGTGTATGGAGGAGGATTAGGACCATTAAAAAATAGAAATAAAAAAACAGCCACTCGGAGAGAAAAAAAGGCCATTGAATTCTGACTTTAATCTGAGAATTAAAAGTCAAGTAACTTCGGACTCTATTGCGGAATTCCAGGATTATCACTTCAAAAATTAGGAATATTACAAGTAGTCATAATTCTATGAGTATAATACAGAATTCTGAGATTAATATTAGAAATCAATAGCCTTTTTTGTTTTATTAAATGATAGTTTTTTTAAGCCGCCCTTATCCTTCTCTGTAGCAGTGACCATTAGTTTGATGCTGATTGCTCTATAGGAGAGAGGTTTATTTTACAATGCCCCTCAGAGATTAAGATCAGATGTGGAACACAAAGATCTATCTCCTGGGTAATTGTCATAATTGATCTAAAATCCGTCTAGCTTTCCTTGTCATACAGAAAGTGTTCCATGTGTGCAGATTGAGTACATTGATGCTGGAACCCCCATCACTAACACACACTACATTGGAGCCCCTGAAGGAGAGTTCTACGGAGTGGACCACGGCATGAGCCGGTTCAGCCCTGAAGTCAGCGCTGCAATAAGACCTCAGACTCCTCTGAAGAACCTGTACCTGACAGGTGTGTCTATGCCTCTCTATACCAACCAGAGAATAAAGATTTCCACGTCCTCCTCTTGAACTTATCCCCCTAATCCTTTTGTGTGGTTTGCAGGTCAGGATGTGTTTTTGTGCGGTTTCACCGGCGCCCTTCTCGGAGCTATTACCTGTGGCTCGGTTATTCTCAACCGCAACCTTCATGTGGATAGCTTCCTCCTGGCAATGAAGACAAAATATATTAACAAGAAGCTAAAAGACAAGTAGCTGATTTTGTTTACTGAAATCCAAAATACTGTAACACCACAGCATATGATGCAGAACTAAATGGGCAAATCCATCTCAAATAAACTTGTTTTGCTTTGAGTCTGTCAAGATTTGGTTGTGGTTTTTGAGGACCCAAATGCAGAGGCAAGGATGCAGAGGTGAGTTTCATGAAGATTTAATTGAATGATCACAAACAACGGAGGCAGGAATCCAAAAATCCAACTTAAAATGTAACACAAACCAGAACCATGGAGACATCAGGGCAAAAGAGCACGTGGAGTCAGGGAAAGGTGAGGAGAGATGAAAATCAAACATGTTTGATTTTCTTCCGACCGTCGTGGGCGCATACGCAAACAAGGATTTTTCTTTTTCTTCTTCCTCACAGATGTAAACACAGCAGCGTGGCAGGGGTTCAATAAGTGAACGGCAGTTCTGTCTGTAAAATTGACAGACCATAGTAGCCACATTTGCTCAGCCGTGTCTTTTTTCAAACATGTCGCCTTTTCTTTTCAGGGCTTTCAACACAAAAATGCACAAACTACCAAGGCAGAGTGGTTCACTCTAGTGAGCTTCATATTCCCCTTCTACACGTTTTGCTTCTGGATAGACGAGTCAGAGTAGCCTCGTCTCACTGCGGAGCTGAGTCCGACGTGGTTTTTAGTCGCACAGTGTGAGCAGGTAGATCGCATGAGAGCGTCGGCCGAACATAAATCGTGAGCTGTGAACTCACACTGTACGACTAACCCTGCGGTTAGTTGTACAGTGTGCACAGCAGCTGCGTGCAACGATTCAAAAAAATCGCACAGTGTATGTCCAGCTTAGCGAGCAGATTGGGAGCAGGTGTGAAGAGAGGAGTCTAGAAAGGAGCTAGGGGAAAAGGAGACCAAAACAAGAGGGCAACAAACAACAACCTAAGAACTCAAATATAGCCAGAAAACACAACAAAATAGGAATTAAACCAATCAAACTAGAAAACATGAAGCAAAGTAAAACTGGATACTCAAAAGAAAACAGAACCAAGACTGTGATAAAGTCAGAACACAAATTTGTTTTCTCTTTGCTTTGGCATGCTTACTTCTTGCACTAATTTATGATACAGAATTTACTTGAATAGCCAGTAATATAATGCTGCAGGGTTTTATTAGTTATAACTAGATATGTCAATAAAAATGTTTGAATTTTGTGAACTTTATTGCTTTTCTAAAGCTTCGATTTGTTTTATTTACAAGGTTGTAGTTTATAAACATGTTATACAAATTAGTTTTCTTATGTTTTTACTTTCCTGGTAAACATGTTTATAAACAATCATATATTACTCCTTGACTGCCCCTGAAGGCAGCATGGTTTAGTCTATATACCAGCAACAGGACCACGTGAACAGCTGGACATGTTAAATAGGGACTTTACGCTTTCTGGCTCGCTGGTGATTTTTTTCTCCTCATCTTATGCTGCCTGGAACCATGTGATTTTGCTGCGAACGAACGAGGTAACTTTAGACAAAAATATGTGCAAAAAGACGCTCAATATTTATGTTATGCATCATAAATTAATGAAGATGCGTCAATCTTGCAGATGTTTGCACCCGTCCTTGCAAAAGGTTTATTTAGAGAGTTTTGGTGGCTAGCTTTTTCTGAGTGCAGCTAAGGCTTAAAATGCCACATATATGTGTTGTTTTTCTAACTTAACTATATTTTCCTGGTTTAGATACATCTGTTGCTAAATTTAGAAGATGGACATGTGCCCAGAAAGGCTGCGTTACGAGCTTTTGGCGGAGGTTGGTGAAGGCTCATTTGGGAAAGTCTACAAAGCCAGAGAGGTTGGGGAGAAACGGCGCCTCCTGGCGGTGAAGAAGTTCAACTTCAGCATGAGCCCGCAGGAGGCCGGAATCCCTCCCTCCATGATCCGAGAGGTGGCGCTGCTGCGCAAAGTGGGACACTTCAATCACCCAAACATAGTCAAGTAAATTGGATATTTACCAGCCAGAGCCGTAACCAGGATTTTTGAAATACTGATATTGTCAAATATTGCGATAAACCTACTTGACAAAAAAAAAAAAAACATCCTAATATGACTTAGACAGATTTATTTGTCATTTTGTTTACACAAGTGTAAAACAAAAAGAAATTTTGTTTAGAACAACTCTCTGGGCAATTAATTTTTTTTTTAAAGTACAGCCTTGAAAAATAGTAAAAAAATATATATAAAAACAGTAACATAGAATGTAAATTTACAGTTCTAACACATTCAAAACATTCAGCAGTCTAATGGCAGTGGGGAAGAAACTGTTGTGGATCTGCTGGACCTGCATCACATGCTTTGAAGTCTCTTCCCAGAGAGCAGCAGGGACAGCAGTCCATGGTGGGGGTGTGAGGGGTCATTGAGATAATAATAATATGGTGACTTTGAAACATGAATAAAGAGAGTTAAATCACAAGCCCATCAAGGAGATGATTTCGAACACGTTTATTATAACAATTTCAAAAACTCACAAAATTAGAGTATTTGTGATAGTAAGTGTTGTCATCATTATACTATATTATTATTGTTGTTATTAATATTGAATTATTATTACTACTATTATTATAGTCACCATCATCACCATGCACGTGCATGGCTCACTAAATGAGTCAAATGACTTGCAAGAATATATCACATTTGTGAACTTTATTTATTTATTTTTTTTAAACAAATGAGAATGCATGTTGATCTTTACACCAATCAAAGTCAGAACAACTTTTATTATATAGTTTGAAATTTCTCTGAATTAAAGAAAAGAAAATGATAATAATAAAAAAACAACGTGAAAATACGGAGGACATGACCCCGGTGTTCTCAATGCTGGTTACGGACGGGCCTGTTACCACCTATACACCTTAACTAAAGCCCGTTTTCACTTTTGGTTGCTTATAATATATTAACCGTATTGCTGTAGCTATTTTATTTGAATGTTCACCTGGAAAAAAAAATATATATATATTTTTACATTTTCTTTAAGATAAAGTTTTCTGGTACTTCCATCATCTCTATTTACCCTGTAAGGAAATACAGCGATATTATGTTGGAAGATGCTTTCTTTTATTATCAAATTTATAAAAAATGAAAAAGTCTCTGTCAATAAATAGATGAGCTATTTAATAACTTGCAAATTTATATAATTTGTAATAAATCTAACGTTAGTAACTCATTTATCAATGCAGGTTTTTTTCCTGCAAACACTTAAGATAAAATTCTAGATGCACCTTGCGTCTCACAAATGTTTTACCTGCCTTACCAGCTTATTCTCTTATTGTTCATTCTAGCAAAGTAATGCATCTACGCCAGTCCCTACTTTATTAGTTTAATTTATGTGTTGCATTAAACAGTTTTATATTTTTGAGTTTCAAAAAAAGCCAATTAAAATGTTACTGTTGAACCTCTAATCTTTTTTTAAAACCAAATTAGACAAACTGGCAATTTTTGTTTTGCTTTGTTCTATTGCTAAGTGTACATGTGGGATAAGACACTGATAAATGTAAGACAGGGAAGTTTTCTGTCTTAATTTTTGTTCAGAAAACTTTGAGTTATGAACAATATCACAGGCAGCTACTAATAAAGGAAAGTTATTTTGTTTTATTTATGTCAAATCTTTTATTTGAAAACGGGTTGGCTGAGAATATTTTGGGCAATCTTTCTACAAAGTTGGTTCACCTACTGTCATATTTTGCCTCTGGTTTAGGCCTTTAATACTTTATGATGTTGACTTGTCTCCAGTCTAAACTGTATGTTCTGCAGGCTCTTAGATGCATCTGCTGAATCCGTTGGCTCAGCCCTGGACCTCACTTTGGTGCTGGAATACATTGACCAGGACCTGTCCACATTCCTGTCCAAGGCTCCTGCTTGTGGTCTGAGTCGTGATCTGGTAAAGGTGAGATCTGCCAATGTGGTTCATCTGCATACTGCAGCTCTTGAGACACAGAAGTTGTCTTTATGTTGGTCTCAGGATGTGATGCAGCAGCTCCTTCAAGGTCTGGACTTCTTGCACACAAACCTTGTCCTGCATCGAGACTTAAAACCGGCGAACATCCTAGTCAGCAATCATGGCGAGATCAAGATTGCAGACTTTGGACTGGCAAGGATTCACACCTTTAACATCGCTCTTACGCCTGGTGTAAGTGTTGCACATTTCATGGATAATCTGCACTGCAATGCTGCTTTTTTGCCTAAGGTATCAAATGTTCTTACTTTTTGGGTTACCCTCCACTCCTGTTCATTTAAATTATTTCCCCACCCACCTCTGCTTAGGTCGTAACCTTGTGGTACCGAGCGCCGGAAGTGTTGCTGAACACAGCTTACATGTCGTCAGTGGACATGTGGAGTGCTGGCTGCATCTTTGCTGAGCTTTTCCTTTTGAGGTGAAGAGAAACAATCACAAATACCTCACTGCAGAAACAAATCTTTCATTTAAACGTAAGGGCCATGACATTTACGACATGCTTTTGTTTTCTGCAGGCCGTTGTTTAAGGGCTACTCAGAGGTGCAGCAGCTACAAAAAATCTTTGAGTGAGTATAAAACACTGTCAGGTTCTCAATGTTAAAATGAAGTTACTCTTATTGTTTATTAGGGTTAAAAATTAAGTTCTACAGTATGTTATTTTAGCAAAGATCAGCTTAAAACTACCGTCTCTACTCGTTAAGCTCCTGTCCCGTGTTTTAAAGGGTGATTGGTTTACCCAGTGAGGAGGAGTGGCCTCAGGAAAGCCCGATCTCTTACTCTGAAAGCCTGGGGCCGAGGGGCTCCGTCACCAAGCTGCTGCCAAACCTGGACCAAGATGAGAACGATCTGCTCTTTGTGAGGACGGCCACATTTATTTTCTCTGCTTGACTTCAGACATGTGCCAATATTTATTTTCCAGTTGACATAAACGAAAGCTTACATGTTTAACTGAGGCTGCTGTTAAGAATTATTATATTCCATGGAGACTAAATTACCAATAGGGACTGAAAGGTTTAAAGGTATAGTGGAGGATGTTCTTTTTCAGGGATCATCAATATAATAATAATTCATCCTTCTTATTGTCAATCATTCTGGTGTTATGTTTAAGTGAGTTCTACGTCCTACGTGCTCGTCCATTTTCATGAGTCTGACATAGTGGAAATATTGCAAATCTTCTTTTGGAACGTAAGCTTGTATGAGCGATGCAAACAGCAACTTGTAAACAGAGCGTGCACAAGGAGAAATGGGCTCCTGCATGCTTGTTTATGCATTCCCTTTCCTTTCAGGAACGGGTACAGGGTTGTGCATATGCAGTTTTTTTTAAGTGGAAAGGGCGGGTCTTTTTTTTTTTTAATTATCAAAATCCTTCACAATACCTTTAATTAATCAAATACAACTAAAACAAGACTGACAATTTAGATAAATAGTAATTATCCTGTTTATGCTGGAAAGAATCTCCAGAAAGGTGTTCACTGCTATGAAACACTTAGTATTAACTAGGGAGGGGAATTGAAAACCAGTTCCTGTTCAGAACCGGTTCTGTGTGTTCCAATTCCATGACACCGTTTGGCAGTTCGCTTAACGATTCTCCTAACGATTCCAGGTAGCACCAGAGCCTAGCGCTGGGCAGCATGACTTACGTTTTTTACGCAAGTTAGGCACACAGCATTCAGTAAGGAAGTACGATGTGACCAGGAGTAAGTCTAGAAAAGCAAAACAAAACAAATGGCGTACATTTTAATAAATGCCGTGTTTTTGATGCTGTCGGAAAGAAACTAAAGTTACCAGCAGCATGGAAGGCATCTCTGGTGGTAAGTAGCTAGTTTTATATCACTGGCTGGGCTTAATGTGGTTCTTAGTAAATCATATCCCATTTATTAAACATGCTACGAAGTTGCTCCGCAGTTCAGGGTGTCATGTTGGGTTCAAGGCGTCTAACCCACATGCAGAAAACACTCTTAAGACAGGGAAAAAGTTAAATGATTTATTGACAATGTTTACAGGTTATGGAGCACAGGTTCTGGGTTCTTCTGACTGGTCACGGGAGGGAAGCCACTGAGGAGGACAGAGCAGTTAGAATAGATCCAGGAAAATTGCAGTTTACTGATGATGGGGATTAATACCTGCTCAGAGAGGATTCTGATCAGCAGGGGGGGAACCTTGTGAGTCCAGAAGCTAGTCGGCAGGCAGAGGGCTGAGGGCAGAGACTGAAACTGAAACTGAGTGCAGGCAGGCAGATTCCAGGCAGAGATTTCTCTCTCCAGAGATTCAGGTTTCCAGGAAAGTCAGGATCTGTGAGGCAGAGAGATACAGGGTCAGACAGGTTCACAAAATCAGGGTCTAGATCAGGCAGGCTGGCTCAGGTTTGCTAACCTTTACTGGCAAACACTCTGGCAGGGAAGTGTCAGTCTCCTCCTCCTTAAATAGGTCTTCTTGATGAGGATACAGGAAACAGGTGTGTAGAGGTGAGCTCATGACCTCAGGAGGAAGATCTCAGGCGCCCTCTGGTGGAGTAAGTGGACAAGCCTCCAGAACCCAACACAGGGAGCGAGAGAAAGGTAACGCTTTTTTATCAAAATCAGGGGGAGATGACTTTATTTCCCGAAATTGTACAGTAATGCTTTTTCATTAAACGGATGCCTTCTCCATTAGATTTAGATGACTGTGATGAGACAGGTAGCCTGGCTGGCTCAGAGGCTGGCAGCTCCTGTTCACTGCCTTCTGTTTTCGCCGAGGCAGGCAGAAATAGAATGTCCCAGGCGGAGGTAGACGAATGTCACCGTGCACTTTCCAAGTTAATTGTATCAGAGAATCGATAAGAGAATCGAAAATGAATTGATAAGGAATCGAATCGTTTAACAGATTCGATAAGGAATCAAATCGTTTCACAGAATCGATAAGGGAATCGGAATCGTGAAAATCTTATCTATTCCTAACACACAGCATTGTCCCAGATCAGCGTTTGAACAAAACAGTCACCATTTGAGATCTTTTTCCGTAATCACCTTCAAGCTTATGAAATGGTTTTTAATCTTCTTATCTGCAGCGCTGTTTGTCATTCGATCCAAGCCGTCGCATCTCCGCCGCTAACGCCTTGGCTCACCCTTTCTTCATGAAGCTTTGAAGATTTCAGCTGAACGAGGAACCCGAGCTGCTGTTATCCTGTGATTATAGATGTCTAACAAAGAGACCAGCGTTTGTGCCATAAAATCCATAAATCCACTGTCCTCTTTGCTCAGACTGTTAAAGTTTTCAGAAGTTTAAATCAGCAGCATCATGAGAAACCATGATCAGTGTGCGGACGGGGAACAGCCTGCAACAGCACAATTGTCTTTAGAAGAGTGAGATTTATTTTTCTCAAATTCAAACACCTTTTTTCTTTTAAACCTTATTGAATTCCATACAGCGGGGGAATGGTCTGAGTTTTAGTTTGGTTTTTGCTCTGTTCTCACTCAACGTAAGCCTTCTGTGTAAAGTTTGTAAAGTTGGATGTATGGATTTTTTTTGTTGTTGAATGCTGCTAAAAAAAACACTATGAGCACCTTTAAGTTGATTCTGTTTACTGGAGATTTATGTTTCAATGCAGCACTTTATATATGTCATCCATTGTTTAGAGGACTTGTATGGTGTAATGGATGCAGATTGCACCTGTTTTTACTTTTCTTTTTGTACATTTTGATAAGTATGTTTAGGTCTTTTTGAGTTTTGCTGTTCGATGTTGTAACATTTTGATGAACAATTGTTTAAAATGCAACGCAATTTATCATATCCCTGTGTATGTGTATTTTTTTTTAGATGTAATTTTACTCGAAGAAAGAAGAGGGCGCTGTTGGCATAGTTTTATTTTTTCTCAACACCATGAGGGGATTTTTTTTTTTTCTCTTCTCAAATTTCTTTAGAAATTTTAAAGAAAAATTTGAGAAATTATTAATGTGTCTAGTTGACAGGTGTGATAGCAAAAATAAAGGTAAGAATGAAATATTACATAAAAGTAAATAAAACCTTAATACCTACAGTAGGTAGGAAAATACACATTTTCAACCATATTTTTGTTCTTTAGTTGTAGCTTTACATTTTTTTTTCCATATAAAGTATTCCTTAATATATTAAAGGTGTAAAAATATATATATTTTTCTGTTAAACTGTATAGTTTTTCTCCTTGAAAAAGTTAAAAAAGAGATCAGTTTATGGTATTGTTCAGGCTTTGAGCATCTGTTTCCTCTTAAAAAAAAGTGTAATAAAATCCATCTTTGTCTTATTAAGAAGTGACCTAAATAAAACACAGTAAGCACACATGTTCCTGAAGGAAATCATTCAAGGAAAAAATCAATAGAAGGCAACTAACCTAAAATGACCAAACTTAATTTCTAGACCAACAATAAGCCGCAGCACCTACAAAAAACAGACACAAAGAAAAGAATGGCTCAAATCGGTATGTAAATAAAGATAAAAAACCTTAAGAACAGCCTGATATGTTTCTCAAATGGAATTAAAAAGCCAAGATAAAAAGATGGATTTTTAAAAGCAAATTTAAAATATATTTGAGGAAATAGATATTATTATATATTAGTATTTTATTATTTTGTGTTGAATTGTATAAAGACCTAACTTATCCCATTAGAGCATAATGGTGATCTCTATAGTCACTAGTTTGTCAACTCTACACCTCCGTAGTGCAAAAGATGTCTGCCTCCAGAAATGCAAACCCACCCTTATGTAATCATAAATATCAATTTCGAAGGCAAGGCGGACATAAAGATTGAGACATTCAGTTCATAGGTGATAAAAAAATAGCATGCACATAGATAATGTTTTACATATATTTAAGTTTCTTGGAGTGTTAGTTGTTAGGGCATAGGGCTTGGAATCCTGAAGTTGTGAGTTCAAAACCCACTTCCAAAGACTGCCATCTGGCTCTGAGCAACACAATTAGCCCCAGTGGCAGCCCACTCCTCCCCAAAGGCGATGGGTTAAATGCAAAGTTAATTTCTCCATTGTGATATCAATTTATTTTTTGGTATTTTATTTTTCAGTAAATCCCTTTAATTATTACACACTGTACCTTTAACAAAGAATCTTAACATGTCCTATTGGTACATAGATGACAAGTTAGGCTGACCAATATGTTTTAATACTTGCAAGTAGCTTTAACCCTCTCCAGGCAGTTGTTGCAGATTTGCAACAGCTAAATGTTACTTAGCTAATTACTCCACATCCATATTTTAAGAGCTTTTGTTACTCAAAAGTACAACAGAAGGACTTAGTTGTGCATTTGCAACAAACAGTTTCTCTCCAGCTCACCACATGGCACTGCTGACTCGCTTTCAACATGGCTGAGTCCTTGGTGTCACTGAAACAGATTTTCTAAGCACCAATTTCATGTAAGTATCGCTACCAATTTCCATGATATTGAAATCAATACTACATAAGATGAATCATGAATGTGTTTAGATATGACACATGCCAATTAGTAGATTTTATCTCCTATGGGTTTTTAACCAGAGGCATCTCGATTTCAATGTTGTGGATTCGAAATGTGTGCCCAAACAGGTACCAATGGATGCTACATGCGTTATCTACTAGTTTAACAGAAACGGCCTTCTCAAGAGGTTTTACGATGTCGGTGGAGAATAAGTTTGAGAAAAAGTTGTCTCTAATTTTGTGAGAGTGCATTTTATTTCGATTTTTTTTGTTAATTTTTTGTTTGTGACATTCAAATAAAGTTAACGTTCATATCAGATTCAGTCTTCAGTGTTTATTTACCACTCCGGGCCACTGTTGCAAATCTGCAACATCCCAAAATTCATTGCATGTGAAGGTCTCTCTCAAAAAAAAGTCTGAGTGGTATATTACTACCCCTATGATCATTTTCTCCAAATATCAGATTTTTCCTGCAACTACAACTTAATTTGAGCCTGAGAGGGTTAATAAGATGGTATTTACGTCACAATTGCTGAAAGGTAGAGTCCCTCCCACTGGCGCTGGCGTTCATCCTCAGGGGTTCGTCCATCTATTTATACCTTCTCCCCCCCAGCTGTGAATGTGACTACATTTGGAGAGACACACCACAGAGTGGGAGCAGTGGGGAGGGACCGCCCCGGCTGGAGCATTCAGTGTGAGTAAACCTTTCATTTCAGTTCATGTAGTCAGGATTTGTTTGTAACTTTAATTAACAGGCATAAATAACCAGAAAGAAAACCGTCCGGAAGGGAATTTGACTTTTTAATTAGGGAAAAAAAGAAACACCTGTTGGTTCAACCTGCGAAGGTCCCTGCTGTGTTCAAGTTTAACTTTCTGACACAGAAACTTTATTTTTTGTCTTAAAATAGGTTTAAAAGTAAAAAAACTGACTTTTTAAAAAACGTTTTAACCTATTTTAAGACAAAAGATGTAAAAATTTAAAAGTCTAGTTAGTTTACGCGCATATTACACACGAATATCAATATGATCCTGTAAGAGTTTCCCAAACATTTTAGTTGGAATATTTCTCCAAGTTTTATAGGATGTTTTATAGGCACTGAGGTTTTCCATATTTAAACTTTTTATTTAGTACCAATGAAAGGTAATGTAGTACCCGCTGCTGTATTATGGTGTATAGAGTTAAAATGCAATTTTGAGGAATTAATTATTATTCCAACTGTCCCCTCAAGGTTAGAAGCTCGAAGCTCAGTTTATACAATGTATTTTTATTGATTCCAGTATTAGTAAGCTTAATGCATAATGCAGAGCATATAATGCACTTTGAAGGTAAGAAAATGGATTCTAATGCTCCTTAAGGTGGAGTGAAAGCTTTTCCTGTCAACCTTCCTGCTGCATGCCTCTATTTGCTGACAATAGTAGAAACTATGATGGGATCCATGGACAAAGCAATGCAAGGCTGTTTCTGTGGTATGCAGGAAAACACTTTGAGAATTTGTCATTGAGTTGCAGAGATCATTGGGGCGCTTTAGTTCAGGTGAAGCAACAGGATGCTTTTGCTCAGCAGCTTTCTTATCTGCACTTAAAATAGTTTCTATGGCTACTTTAGTCCTGAAATAATCAGTTTTCTAATTGTGGTCTGTTTTTTTTCTAAAACTCATTAACCTTACTCCAATATTTTCCCAACATCAAAGTTCAGATCTGTGTCCATCTGCCCTCTGCTGCTAAGTGTATTTTTCAGTGTTTCAATAGTCCTCCAGTTCGCAAAGCAATCCCTCCCTTTAAAGCTCTTTTCTTGTGTTGATTTAAAGATGACCAATAAGAATTTTGCTCATTTTTAAAGCATATGCTCAGATGTTACCATTTTGTTTGTATCCTGCAGGGCCTTAGCTGCTTATAGTATTGCAGCATCAATTTATCTTAATATCTCAACATGCTTTTTCTGTTTTTACATTTAGATAGAAAACAGCTTATTGCTACTAATCTATAAAAAGTTGTAAACAAGAAGTTTTTATACATTTTATAAGAAGGAGTCAGATATGGTCGTCAAAATGTGTTTATTTAGCAAAAAATAGAAGGATATTTATACTTTTGTGTTTTACTAGTTTTAAATACCTTTACTTTGTATTTGGTAGCATTGCCTTTGAACTCAAATGTTTTGTGTATCCTTAAACTTTGGGAGTCATTTGATGGTAATAGCCATTGTCCATTTGCAAGGATATCTTAAGATCCATATTTCATACAATGTTTTTTTCTCATGATTATGTGTATATATTAACCCTGAATGTTATAGTTGGTATGGCTATCACAGACTTGTAAACATTCCCCCACCTCCTCCAGATGTTGATTGGATTTGTATTGAACGTTACAGGTTTTTGTCCCTTTGTGCTTTTGCATCTTCAATCCTTTTTTTTTGTTTTTTTGTTTTTAGAGAGATGACCTCTTCCTCTCTTGGAGGGTTTTTGGCCAATATCTACAGTATATAGGACTCAATTAGCTAGATAATGGCAATGTCTTTGGATAATATTTGTACCACATTCATCTTTTGAATGCAGGAGCTGTTTCCTTTCTCTTGTGGCTGGCCCTTTCCATGATTTTTTTTATTGTTTATAATAGTTAAAAACAAAGATGCAGCAACAGCAACTAAATTTCCATTGCTGGTCTGTGGTCAAACAAAGGAGAATTTTAAGAAGTTGCATGAACAGGCTTATGAATATATCTAAAATTGACAAAGCCATGAAATAAGAATCTGAGCTTTTTTTTTTTAAGGTAAATTAATGCAATTTGAAGGTAAATTGCAAATTTAAAAGTAAAAATGGTCAACTATACATTTATTCTTATTAGTGGGATATTTATCCAATAAAAAAAAAATGCTTTATCTTAACTAAACTGAACCAAGAAAATAATTTAAATTATTATTTTAATTAATTGAATTAAAAAAAATCTGTACATCAACAGAAGTTGATGTAGAGTTTGTACAGATTGTATTGAAGTTGATGTACAAAGTTAAGTTTTGTGTCTCTTTTTTATTACCATTCAAATATTGTTAAAGTCTACTTGTTTGCAGATGATGATGCTGTATTTTATACCGCTGGTCGAAGGCATGCTGCTGATTAGCTGCTACCTGCCTTTCGGCTGTTACTCGAATCAATTTAAGTTGATGTTTTTTCGGTTATGCTAAAAGAATGCATTGCATAATGTGGTTTATTTGACTTTTTTAACCCTGTAAGGACACAATAGCTCACAAATAGCTTTATGTATAAGCTATGTTTATTATCTCTTGCATTTTAATAAATATCCATTGATAATACTCAGATATTTATCTGACTTTAGTTGAACTGCATTCCCATATTTTCTCTTTGCTTGTGGAATCATCATCAAAGTACATTAAAGCTAACAGGTCTTTCTCCCGGTGATTATTAGAGCTATCTTTAAGACTGAAGCTTTCAACTGCTGTTCTTTTCAGCATTTAAGTCCAACAGCTTGAGAGTAACAGTAAAACCGATTAAAATGAATTTCTTATACAGTAGGACTTCTGCTGCCGGAACATCTTTTCAGCCTCACAGCAGATATATCTGATGCACAGCGTCTGTGGCTTCCACCTCTTTGTTCTTCTTCCATTGTGCTTCCTGCTGCAGGAATGCTGACATCCACGGTTTAGTAAAGCACACAGACGCGCACAAGCTAACACACATTTATTTTTCTGCCTGCAGTGCTGTGAAAAAGTCTTGAGCCACATCTCATCTGCTTATTTTATGACTATTTATTCGGGTGTTTGTCTCCCCATTTTGCCTAAGAACATTTTTTTTTTCTCCAGACGGTATGTTGTAAACCTGTTTAAACAAGTTTGAAAGCATTTTTCTTTCAGAAAAGCATCCATTTATTTTATATAAAATGCTTTGTGTAAACTGTAAGAGTTAAATGGTGGTGCAGGTTCTCTGAATAACGGTTAGTTTTACAGAAAAGATAAGAGAACTGTACAGACTGGGTGCCATGAAGCTTGTAGTCTGAGTGGAGCTGGGCTGTGGTGTTGAATATCAGTGCAAGAGGAGATTCTTGACTCGGCGGGCTGGTGCTGATCATCTTACATGGAAGAGAAAGAGGAAAGGAGGTGGAACTAGATCAAAGATGCATTTTAAAACTGCAAATCCTTGCACATAAATTAAGGTTGACTTTTCTTTTTTTCTGGAATAAGGCTGAGCCTATGTTTAATTTCTGTTTGCTAATTATTCCTATAGATTTGTTGTAAAATGTGCTATGAATAGGAATAAATTACGCCAAAAATGCCCTACTTCTCACACCTTGAACTGTTGTTTTTTTTTGCTATAGCTTAACATAGAGTACCAACTTTGCACAGGGAGTCACTCCTCACTCATGTTAGTAGTTTTTACAATTAATATGTCTGTCAATGATGTGTTTTAGTGTTTTTTATAATACAAACGTGCCACAAAATTAGGGTCATATTATAATGTATGTAACTATTTTAATCACGTATATTTTTATTGCTCTCTCTGTGTTTAAAGCTTAATTGATCATAAGTTGGTACTTAATAATTATTTATTTGGTGTCTAGCCCTCACAGAAGATCTATACAAGAGGTTATCATTTGTGGCTGTGTTACAATGTGAAGAATTTATATTTTTGTCATTGAAGTTTGATTGTTTGAAATTTAAAATCAGCAAAAAGCCTATAGACGAGAATGTGTGACGGTTCCAGGATCTAAAGCTTTTGAGGACTTTAGTCTAACTAAACCCACTCTTTCTATAGGAATTTAATCCTCATTTTTGTTAATCTTTCAGAAGAAACATTTCAAAAAGGCACAAATGGTCTCCAACACCTGACAAAAAAAGTCTTCAGGTTAGATTTAGTCTTAATGTTGAAAAAATTCATGCTGTTTTGCTCAAACTGATGACAAACAAACCGTCTGCTTTTCCTTCCCTCATGCGCTGCAGTTATTTGAGGAACAGATAATAAGCTGAATCCTTCAGAGGGACACATGGATACAACAGAGAAACAGGTTCTGGAGAGCAGAGCAGAGCGGATCGCCCGCTACAAGGCTGAGAGGAGGAGAGAGCTGGCTGAACGCTTTGGGGACTTAGAGGAGGTTCCCTCCAAGTGGGTGAGACGGGATGGAAAGGAGCTGAACGACCCAGAAACCCCAGCTTATAGTGGGGGGCCGCGCCCAGATGGATGTGATGAAAGACTGAATGGAAAAACTCAAGAAGTTATAAATGGAGTTGAGGCAAATACTCCTGTGGGCCACGCCTACCTGAGAAGGTGAGTCCTGTCAGGGAGAAGCACTGAGCATCATTACAAAAACTAACAGCAAACTCTTCCTGTTAAAGTTTGCAACTGAAATGTTCAGTTTTCAGAAATCCCTTACTTTCCTGTGTTTTATATGGGTTCTTTATGCTCTAAAGAAAATGACCAGTGTTTACCTGGCTCTTCTAATTGTTAAAACATTTCCAGAATGATTAAAAGGAGGGCCTGCTCAGTTGTGCAGTGGGTAGCACTTCTGCCTTGCAGCAAGAAGGTTCTGGGTTTGAGTCCTGGCCCGGGGTCTTTCTGCATGGAGTTTGCATGTTCTCCTTGAGCATGTGTTGATTCTCTCCGGGTACTCTGGCTTCCTCCCACAGTCGAAAAAACATGACTGTTAGGTTAATTTGCTTCTATAAAGTCCCCTTAGGTGTGAGTGTGTGTGTGAATGGTTGTTTGTCCTGTCCAGGGGTGTACCCTGCCTCCCGTTGACAGCTGGAGATAGGGACCAGCACCCCTCGCAACCCCACTTGGGATAAGCGTATTAGAAGATGGCTGGATGGTTTAGAGGATTGCATCAAAACTATCAACCATAACTGCAGTCGGCTGCACTGTGTTTGGAGCAAGGACTTATAAAGGAAAGTAGGACTGGTCATTTTCAGAAGTATTTAGAGCTATATTTTTGTCTTTAAATATTTTAAGCTTGTAGTTTCATACCTGATAGGTGATAAATATCTCCTCCAGGATTTGTCGTCAGAATTTCCAGGAAAACAACTGAAGCCATCTAGTTATCTTCCACTAAAGCACTTAGGAGTGTGTTGGCCTAATTTGCCCCTTAAGTAATATGAAGCAGTGATCAGGGAATGGACTGTGATTATTTAGGCAGCAATAACAATATCAGGGCTGCAACTATTGATTATTTTACAAATCGATTAATCTGTCAATCATTTTTTTTAGATTAATCGATAAATAATCTGATATCAAAAGGTTCCTTAAAGAACATTTTTTTTTTTTTTTTACAAAATTAAACCAGGTGAAACTAAAACTTTCTGGATGGAACATATTAACAGATTAAAAGATTGTTTTTAATCTTAGATACAACATGTTTATATGTATTTTTTTACAGTCTTGGTATAATTACTGCTCTACGTGGGTTGCTCTGTCAGCTTAAGGCATGTTTTACTCTCTATACTCCAGTTAACAATTGATTACTAAATTAGTTGACACTAATTTCAATAATCGATTAATCACAACAAATCCACTTAAATTTTACACCCCTAAACGATATCTAATAATAAACCTTTAGACAAACTTGAGGAAAATCGACCAAGAGGGGAATGCAATAAAAAAAAAAAAAATGAAATAAGTTCTCATTTGTTTTTATTTTTCCTGGTTGATTTTTGTCTCTTTTTTTCCCCACTGTTACTGTTTGCATGGAAAAAGTGCTTTCATGCATGGATCTGTGCTAGCTGCAACTCTATTTTGTGTGAAAGCAAACCCACTTTAAGAGTATTACGCCACTTAAAGGCTGGAGTGAGAAGTTAGTGCTTAACTCTTGCTGAATATAATGACCAAAAGTGAGAGCCTCTGTTATTTTAATTTTGTTCATTTGCAATTATAATCCAAATGCAATTAGTGGCACTGCCTGCATGTGTAAAATGTGAAGGCATATCAATATATTGGTGTTAGTAATATTTCGTTCTTTACTCACAGTATTAAGCCCTTAAACCTAAAAGCCCTTAAACGTCACAGAAAGTCACATAGTTTAGATTTCTGTTTAAGTTATTAATGTAAACCTCAGCAATCCTGATGGCTCTGACAATAATTCAGCCCCCTCTTTGCTGCTGATTTCCTGACTGCTGCAGCTGCGCTGTGGCTTTTGCTGCTATTTAGACTGAGCGCTCCAAATCAGCGAGTCACAGCAGGGAGTTTTAAAGCCACTTTGATTCTCCTCTTGCCTCCTTGTCCTGCATTGAACCCTCATGTGATCTGAGAGCTGCCGTTGCTGAGAGGAGACTCTTTGTTTATCCTTATAGTTGCATCTTTTTCTTCAATTCTAGGGATAAAAAATTTACTATTTCTAAATTTCCTCATCATTTTAACCTCATCCCCTCCTTCTTTAGCCAGAGTTGCCAAGATTCTGCCAAAGTTCTGGGTGAGGAGGGGCACCTTGTGAATCCCGGACCCGATGCTCCACAGCTCCACACTCGGGTGTCAGTAGGCCAGTTGAGGAGTGTCCTCCTGCAGCAGACGGAGAGCGGAGCAGGCCTGGAGAAACTGTAGGGTCAACTGCATGTGTGTGATCAAATGCTGCGTCATCTCTGTATTTGCCTTAATCTTTTCCTTTTCTGTGTTTTTTTTTTTTTTTTTTTAATCTCTATTTGTGGAAACCAGTGGTCCAGATGCTGGTCAAGCCACATCTTCTTTGGATTTGGCTGTTGGTTCTGAAGGAGGCCGGCGGCGGAGCAGACGTTACCTTCCAGGCGGATTGGGTGGGGGCCGCAAAACGAGCGAGCGCTTCAGGACACAGCCAATAACAGCAGACGAGATGGAAGAGAGCACTGGGTAGGAGCTGTTACTGTTCTCCTTCTGAGAAAAGATTGTTTGGAAAAGCTTGAAATAAATTAATGTGACCTGGTAGCCTGATCTGATACTTAATACTTTGGAAAGCCAATTTCAATTCAAATACAATCATACAAGGAGGGAAATCGCTTTTTACGAAACTAGATGTATCTTAACAAGGTCATTTTTTTATTGTACTTGGGCACGTGTGAAAGTTAAACATTTTTGTCAGGATTTATGTAATACCCCATCTACCATGACCAAGATCTCAACACCTTCAGCACCTAGTATTTGTTTGTTTTAATTTTTTTTGGTGTTCATGTATGAAATTTGAAAAATGAAAATATATTAAAAAAAAAAAGAAATTATACATTTCTTTTGCAAAGTCAGGAATTGCTGATATTTTGATCCTTATTGGGTCAAAATGTCCTGGAATTTAGACATTTTTCCAGGATATTTGGAAAGAAACGGCCCCCAGCTTTGCATATCCACCACCCTAATTATTGCGAAACTCATTGCCAAAGACATGGAATGTTTGTTTAGTACATGGCTCCAGTTAAAGGCCCAACTGCTACCAAAAAAGCTGCCGAGTTGAATCATATCTTAACACTACAGAAAACAAAGTTTTTGAGTCCCTAAATGCTTAAAAGAACAACTATTACTTATCAGGTAGGTTTTCTGTAGGATGTACTGAAATTTAAGTTTTAGCAGTCTTTGTCATATGCTGCTTTAATTGATTTAATAGCTTTTTTGGATGTCTGACGCTAGACGCGGAGGTTGCTGTAGGAAAACTTCTTATATTATATATACTTTTCATGTTTATACAAGACAAATTGCTAGATTTTTTTTTCTTTAAGTTAACTGATTAAACTATTTAAAATTACAGATTATTTTTTTCTTCCATTGTAGATTCTGAGCTTTGTGTTATTTTCTTAACTAAAACAGTTCTATTTTAATTCTGTTAGACATTTTGTTTTTTGTTTTAAAGGTAACCCTTAAGCTAAAGCATTGCATAAAAAGCTACAGATGGTTTGCATAAGTCTGTCCTCCGTCCTGAGATCAACTGTGGTGTTTTATCAAGAATGCAAATATTTCACACTATCTTGATTCTCTGAGCCTGCAAAAGAAAGCACAAGGGAATTTGAGGTAGATATAATGCTGGATCCGAACACAGAACTGATCCTCATGTCTCACGCTGTTTTCTCCACTTTTAGACTCTTGGATGCAGAAGAAAACGACAAGAAAGGTAAAGCTTTAGACTTTTTTTTTAGCCAAGAAAGTAAATATTAAAGTTTTAGTTATTGCAAGAATATGTTTTCTTCTCATGCTTTGTGGGACATTTTGTATTTGTTCACCCAGCTTGTACAGTTGCCTCAATAAATTCCTGTTACTGCCTGGGAAACGAACCAGGTTATATTTGGAGGTTCACTTTATTTAATTTGGTGAGTGGTGATGGGTTTATGACTGAGAAACTATGTAAGCCTGATGGAAAGCCCCCTCTATTCTTAATTGACCCCAGCGGTCCAGACAATGCGGGCGTTTTAGTTGTTTGGTCTTTAACTTAAAAAACGGCAGGACAAGTTACCTATGACTGCGCTTAGTTTATATAACAGACCATTTCTTACTTTGTTTGAATCAGGTTCTATATAGAAATATTTTTCTGGCAGAACCTTTTGCTTAAAAATATATGTATATTTAAGTAGACAAATATTTTTACATTTGATGAGGTACTATACAGAAAAAATATTCTATTGCAAAAGTATGTGCATCCCTTGAGTTTTTCATCATTTAGTGGTTTACAAAATTATTGTTTTATAGGATTTTGTTTGCTTTACCAAGACAAGTAATGCAAGTAATAGTGAGGTTGGAGGTTTAATAAATGTTGTTTTTCTGGAAGGAAAATGTCCAGCAGTCAGGCAAAGGACAAAGGTGTAGAAAAAATATCATCCATTTATGGTTCTGTGGTACTAACAAACAAAAGAGACAGAATTTAGAAACAATGGGCCAAAAAGAAGATATCAAATATGACAAATCTAACCAAGGATAAGAAACCAGAACTGACCTCTCACAATGAACAGAGGAGTATATTAACACATAAGCTAACCTACAAACAACAAGGAGGGGAGGGAGAGAACTTAAAAAATAAATAAAGCAAGGAAACTAAGTCAAACCTACAAATAATAACTACAACACAAATATGAAACTAAGACATTCAAACAACAAAATGTATTTTAGAACAATTGAGCTTTGAGTGTTTGATTCTCCAGAGTCAGGTCCCCCAGAGTCAGCTGCTTGCCACTTTCTTGTGTTACACCATATTTGCTCCCCCAGCTAGTTCTTTCAACCACAGCAAAAGAAAAACAGTGATCTTGATACTGTTCATAGGGTGTTTACTAAATGTGTGCACCCATATTAGCAAACCTCCTAAAATAAATATGCTGTGTGAAACAAACATTACAATACTCACACTGAAATAGTTGGAGGAATCTCCACAGAAAATTTTAAAAAGCTGTTTTTCTTTAAAAAAATAACTACAGTGCAATTTAAATGGATGGAGAGCATTTAAATTTAGGTGTGTAATTTGTAAGGTAATTCTTAAAAAAGGTTTGATTTGATCTTAAACTAAATCTGGCTTTAGCATTAGGGTTGGTGTTTTCCTTGAAGGTAAATGTTTTACTGACAAGTAGACTTGTGCAGTAGAGTTTATTTAGAGCTATCAGAGTAAAGGGGGCTGATTATAAAAGCATGCCATACTTGCCAATGTTTTTATTAGTAATGCATTTTTGAAAATGATCAGTAAATAAAATCCCTCTTATATTTTTAGCTGTAATTCAACACAGTGTTGAATACTTTAGTATTTTTCTTAATTTGATTATATAAATTAGCCTCTTTAAAAAACCTATTTTTAATGCTGAAAAAATAAACTTGGAAAAATGCTCAAAACATAAATTGGCATAAACTGCTGCATCCTGAACCCTGTTTTTTTAACCATTCCTCTTAAAAAAAAGTGGTTTGATCTTTGTCCATATTTAGCAATAATTTATGTGTGATGAGTTGAAGGGCCCTCCCCTCGTATATGAATCTCCTTTCTCTTTCAGCTGATGTGAAAACGGATGATAGATCCAAAATGAGCGTGGCAGCCAAGATGTCTCTGTTTAAAGTAAGTCTCAAACAATTACTTTGATGCAACTTTGAAACTTTTACCAATAAGCTATTTAAAAAGTCTAAGAGTGCTAAGCAAATACAGCTGATGTCATAGAATTTCTTGATGTTTATTGTTGCAAATATGCACTAATCAGTATTTATTACTCAAACAACCAAAAGAGCATCTGCATTCCCCCAATGCTAGTTATTAAACATTTAGTGCAGACCTAGGAACCTTTGGAAAGCACTTGTTTCTGCTACTGCTGGTCTCTGAAAGTGTGCATTATCATTGACTGTTATCACAAATTTGCAATATACCTAAAGTTCTATTCATGTTTTATGCATTAGTAACCTTCTTTTATGCATGTGTATAAATTCAAGCATTAAGGGGTTAAACCATTGCTGGTGATGCATAAATGCTAGATTGTTTGGAGAGAATATGGATCAGTCTTGATGTGTCTGAAACTCTTTAGTTTTCATCCCTATAACTCAGGTGAAAATGTGCCAGACACCGTAGTGCCATTAACAACCAGCAGCTGTGGTATAATTAGCCTGCTGCTCTGCAGAGACTAGCAGTGGGGAAACCGAAGCCTGCAGGTTTCTGGTTACATCGTCACCTGTTGAAAGTAGCTGCCAAGATGCTTTATCCAGTAGCAGGGCATATGGAGGCCTTCTTGTATAAAAACAGAACAGTTCAAACTCTTGAGTCCTCTCTCATAAATTTAGATGTCTCTACCAAGTAATCAGGCTTTCTACTAATATAGAGTCTTTATCCTACAGTATTTCTTTCCTTATTTCTTGTAGAACTACTGTTTTATCAACTGTAGGAGATTTTAGACCCCAGACTGTTTGCTTAAACCAGTTTATGTGATTTAATTAAAGTCATCGTCATAGAAAGTAAAATATTGATAAAAGAAAAATTAAGGGTGCAGAAGTTGAAGCCTTCTTGCATTTGGAGTTCATCAAATATAAGGGGAAGGGTTAGGGTAACTTTTATTCTTTAACAATGTGATATTAATACCTTCTCTACTTTTTGAGGAACTGGAGAAGTCGGCTGCCCCCGATTCCTCGGCTCTGTTGAAGCCTCGCTCTACCAGCAGCTCTCATGAAAGAAGGACACGACGTGGCAACGACAATCGCTTTCTCACTCAGCCAATCACTTGTGAGGAAATGGTGGCAATCAGGTAGGTAGAGGAGAGTTTTAAAGGGCTCATAGAATGCAAAACCGAGTTTACATTGTAATAGATGAATAACGATAGTTTAGTGGGTGAAATGGACGTACAGAGTAATTCAAACCCCATCGAATCCTACTTTCTCTGCAAATCTCACAATTCTAAACTTCCACCATAAAACAGGTGAATCCAAAGCCCCGAGTTAACATTAACTTGGGGATGTTGCCTTATTTGGCTTGTACTTTTGTCACGCCCCGAAATTTACATACAGACCAGCCCACTGGTTCACTGGACTTGAAGGACTTGAGCTGCGACCCCCACTATAGGTTCATACAGATGCTTGGAGAAACTTTGAATAATCATGGAAGTTGTCATTAAACCAAATGAAGCAAAAACCCCCTATAGGTATGGTCCAAATCAGCTCAGCCCCTTGGCCACCTGCTGGTTCCTCAGCCAGGGGACTACAGCAACTGACAGAGTATAAATTAAACAGTCATAACAGAAACAAAGTAAACCAGTATGTGCGCACTAATTTTAAAATACAGTGTACTGGTGATAAATTCCAAATAATGAAATGACTCTGAAAATAAAACCCAAAATGAAAAAGTAACTAAAAGCCAAATGATATTTGTTACCACATCTGTTTGGTTTTAGATGAAGCGATCACACTCAATGTCCAGCTGGTTGGCAAATACCAACACGCTTTAAGGAGATCAGAAAAAGTGACCTCCACATTTTAACAGCTTATAGAACCAAGTTTAGAAGCAGTGATTTGAGTTATTTTATAAGTCTTGAATTTTTCTGGGCAGGAAATTTGTCCCACTGTGCTCCCAGTGCTTGTTTCATTTAATTGATTTTGTTGCAGACATGGGCTTTTACAGCCTTTTGGCGTCCAACTGCAGCATTTCAATCCAATCAGGTAGAAGTCTTGATTTTCAACTGACCATTGCAACTTCTGCTCTTTTTCCACTTTTTCATTGTGTCACGTACTTTGGGCCACTGTCACAGTTGGGTTGAGGTTTTGAGTACCGAAATGCAGAGGTGAGGAGGCAGGGGTGAGTTTTTATAGATCTAATGTATTAACTGAGGCAAAAATC